TCAAAAAAAAAAAAAAAAGAAAATCATGTTGAGGGCTGGATGCGGTGGCTCAAGCCTGTAATCCTAGCACTCTGAAAGGCCGAAGCAGGTGGATAACTTGAGCTCAGGAGTTCAAAACCAGCCTGAGCAAAAGCGATGCCCTGTCTCTACTAAAAATAGAATAACTGAGGCAAGAGGATTGCTTAAGCCCAATGAGTAGGAGGTTGCTGTGAGCTATGACACCACAGCATCTACACACGGTGACAGCTTCAGACTGTCTCAAAAAAATAAAAATAAAAATAAAATTGGAGCAGGCCAGGCGCCGTGGCTCATGCCTATAATCATAGCACTTGGGAGGCTGAGGTGGGTGGATTACCTGAGTTCACAGGTTCGAGACCAGCCTGAGCCAGAGTGAGATCCCGTCTCTAAAAATAGCCAGGTGTTGTGGCGGGAGCCTGTACTCCCAGCTACTCAGGAGGCTGAGGCAAGAGAATTGCTTAAGCCCAAGAGTTTGAGGTTGCTATGAGCTGTGACACCTGTCGTTCTACCAAAAATGACAAAGTGAAACTGTCTCAAAAAAAACAGAAAAGAAAATCATGTTGATGGTATTTTTATGGAGAGATCTACAGAAGTAAAATGTGAAACTTGGGAAATCAGCCAAAAGGTGCTAAGTAACACATGTGAGACTTGTCCCAAGCAGTCTCAGAACCTCACCTGCAATAACAGGGTCTCATTAACCATCAGCCACAGACAGGTCAAGACACGTAAATCATGGTCAGACCAGCTGAGCTCACTGAGGCAGAGATGAACCCTTGGTTCTTAAGGAAAAACCTGGGTGCTGAGTAAGCACTAATCACAGCACCACTCTGCTCCTCCTTCTAACACATTGTGCTCAACACCTCTTCCTTTCCCTGAAGGAAGAAAGCAAAATACATCCTTCAACTTTACTCATGGATCAAATCCTTATAAAACCTAAATCTTAGAAATACTCCAGGTTCACAAGTTACTTTTTAATTTACTATTGCATAGACTCTAATTTGCTTCATGCAGGTCTTCTAAGTCATCAAACTACTGTTTCTTACCTCATCATTGATGACCTCAGACTTTTCTTCTTCTTCCTCCTCCTCCTCCTCCTCCTCTTCTTCTTCGAGGTCCAAATCATTCTGTCTAAGATATGCTTGTAATGGGGCATAATGTTTCTTCTTGAAAGCTAAGAAATCCATCATATTCCCTTGGAAATGTTGCAAGAAAAACAGTTCAATCAAATACTCCTTGAAGACCTCCTTCAGCGCCTCCATCTCTCTGTAGTGATAATCCAGACACTGTTTCCTCATCTGCGCCAGCTCCTGAGAAGCCGGTGGGATTTCTTCTAACTTCTTGGGAGCCTTCTTTACTCCTGCACTCCCCACGGATGTTAGAGGAAGGCTGGAAAGGCCTGGGGGCATGGACGTCCTGGAAGGACTAGTGGGTGGGGGCGGGGATGTCATCCCAAATGCTGATGTGCCCCCAACCCCAGGGAGTAGCACACCAGGGGGCCTCTCAAACCCCAGTGGTCTGGCCAGAGGCTGCCCCTGCAGCACTTGCTGCTGTTGGATCAACTGGCCCTGGATGATGCTGCTGATCTGGGGTGGCAAGCTGGCTGTGGCAATGTGGCTTGAGCTGGCCAGGGGCTGCAGGCCGGCTCCGCCAGCAGCCACAGGGCTCTGGGGTCCCAGGTGGTGAACAGTGCCTCCTGGCTGTGCGTGAGGCTGGGAGAGTCTCCGCTCTCGTACTGTGATGGGGGCTCCTGTGTGCTGGAGCTGCACCTGGGCTCCCTGGGTGATCTGGGTAAGTCCTGAGCCCTCCTGAAACACAAAGTGTCCACCACTGGATGGGCTCAAGCTGATCTGTCTCACGAGTACACTGGCATCCACGAACCCTCCAGTGGGACTACTGCTACAGATGCCCAGCCCAGGGCCAGGGGCACCTGCGCGAACACTCGGCAGGGCCTGCCCCGGCCCAGGGCTGGGCTGCGTGGGGCTCTGCGTTTGGACCTGCTGGGACAGGGGTGAAGTAACCTGAATGTACGACGGAGACCCATGTTCAAACCGCCTCGGCTGAGGACCGAACTGGAACCCTGGGGAGGTTGGGTTGGGAAGTGGCAGAGGGGCCAAAGTGATCTGCTGGTTTCCTCCAACGACGGGGCCAACGCTCTGTAGGGTGATGTTCACATTCTGCCCGGCCACGGGACTTCTATTCATCAGTTGCTGTATTTGGTAACCAGGGGACTGGGGTGCAGATGGGCTTGCTGAGGGGGCAAAGGGAGTAGCAGGGGATGAGGGTAGATTTGGGTGGGCTGGCTGCTCTTCTCCCTCACTGCCAGTGAAGGACCTGGACCTTTGCAGCTGATGCTGGACATTCTGAGGGCCGCTGCCATGGTGCATTATTGCCTCCCTTTCTTATCCAATACGATGTTCTCCTAAAAACCAAAATTAAAACTAAGTTACTTAAAGACATAGACATAATTGCTTGATTACCACATAATATGATTACCATTTAACAGCACTGAAAAGGCACCATGAAGGCAGTTCCCACTGGCCTGATCATCTTATCAACTCACACCAAATGGTCCCTGGAGACATCTCTATCTATATAGACTGAGAAACTGCCCTCCTCAGTCACTGCTGTGCCCCAAGTCGGGGTGGGTGGGTGAGCCAAGCCAGCCACTGCAGACTGTCCCAAGCATCACCAAGGACAGCTATCCTGTGTGGGCTGAGCCTCATCCCTGGAGCCCCATGCACTGCCCATGAGGTAGGTGCTGCTCCAACTCCATTTGAGGGGCAAGAGACCAAACCACAGAGGAGGCAGCAGGCGGAAGAGCAGAGTCTGAGTTCAGACTCCCACTCTGGACCAGGAAACCCCCTTCTGGCCTTTCTGTAGCAAAGCCCTCCACCAGCATCTTCCACCAGCAGGAGGGAATGGCCTCCTGCTCACTGCCACCCAACACCCAAGAGGCATTTAGCAACTACTGCTGCACGGAGGAGAACAAGACGGCCTCACCAGAAGGAAACATCCAAGCTTCTCCAGCTAGCAGTTCTTACCAACCTCCGGGCTGCCTCAGCTGTGGCCGTACCCCTATAAATCCAACTCAAACACAGAGCTTGATTTGTACCAGACCCTGTGCCACTGCAGGATAGTGAGACAGGAAAGCTGGGACAGTCGATGCCCTGGGGAGCACCCTGCCTGTACCAGGAGTTGAGATAAAACATGAAATAAAGTCCTGGAGCAGGAGGTAGGGAACAACCTCAGATCTCAATGTTCTCAACAAGAGCACAAAAAGAGGAGAAACTTCTAGAAGGTCTCCAAGGGAAAGAGAAGGAAATGGCCAGGGCCTGGCTCTCATCCAGCATAGTGTTCCCTTCAGAGGGTCTGCAAACTCCCTGGGAGGTCGTATCACAATTTCAAAGGCATTCTTAATCCAAACACTGCTTAGTGTATGAAGATGAGAGACAGAAGTGGGCAAGTGAGGCTCGGGTCCCTGTGGCTCAAGTGGCTAAGGTGCCAGCCATATACACCTAAGGTGGTGGGTTCGAATCCACCCCAGGCCCACCAAAAACAATAATGATGGCTACAACCAAAAGATAGCTGGGCGTTGTGGTGGGGGCTTGTCGTCCTAGCTACTTGGGAGGCTGAGGCAGAAGACTCGCTTGAGCCCAGAAGTTGGAGGTTGCTGTGAGCTGTGATGCCATAGCACTCTACCCAGGAGGACAGCTTAAGGCTCTGTCTCAAAAAAAAAAAGAGGGCCCACTAAGAAAAGCCAACTTTCAGGAAAACATGGAGTTGGCAAGGGCAACCCAGAGGTGAGGCCAGGTCAGAGCTGCGTAGAGAGAGAAACGTCTTTAGGGAGGGGACAGGCTGATGACCTCAACCACTGCATCCTCCCCCCACCCCGTCTGTTCTCTCCACTGTGGCCAAGTCACAGCATAGAAATGTCTTTCCCTCCTAAGAAAAACAGTGCAAATGCAGGGAAAGAAAAGGGGAAAGGGGGAACACCATCCCATGTGAATGAAGGGTGCCGCTGATTTCTATCATGAAGGAGAAAAACTCATTGACGTTTTCAGGAGAAGCAGATGGAGAAAACTGAACCCAGTTGCATAACTGAGCTCCTGGCCAGCAGGCCAGAAGCCACCATACTCCCCCGGCATTCCAGTCTACACAGAGACCCCCCTGCAGAAGCCAGCCTGAGCCGAACTACCACTGTTCATACTTCTGAAGTCCCAGCTGACACACCCAGCTGCCCTGCCTTCTTGGGACTCCTTCTACCCCAAACCTGCCTGGACAGTGACCAAAGAGTCTCATTCCCTCCAAGATAGACAGGAGCCCCTTTCGTCTCTCTATGAGGAATGCACAGGGGTAAGAGAAACTGTGAACCTCTAAAGAAGCTACAAAACAGGTTTGGCGCCTGTCCTCAGTGGCTAAGGTGCCAGCCACATACACCGGAGCTGGTGGGTTCGAATCCAGCCCGGGTCTGCCAAACAATGACAACTACAACCAAAAATAGCCGGGTGTTGTGGCTGGCGCCTGTATCCCAGTTACTTGGAAGGCTGAGGCAAGAGAATCGCTTAAGCCAATGGTTCTCAACCTTCCTAATGCCACTACCCTTTAATACAGTTCTTCATGTTGTGGTGACCCCCAACAATAAAATTATTTTCGCTGCTACTTCATAACTGTAATTTTGCTACTGTTATGAATCGTAATGTAAATATCTGATATGCAGGATGAATTTAGATGACCCCTGTGAAAGGGTTGTTTGACCATCAAAGAGGTCGTGACCCACAGGTTGAGAACGACTGGCTTAAGACCAAGAGTCTGAGGTTGCTGTGAGCTGTGACGCCATGGCATTCTACCCAGGGCAACAGCTTGAGGCTCTGTCTCCAAAAAACAAAAGAAACTACAAAACATATAATGCTCTTACAGTTCCAGGTCCCTGGCTGAAATACACATATATGTGAAATCAAAAACCACAGAATGGGCTCGGCGCATATAGCTCAACCGGCTAAGGCACCAGCCACGTACACCTAAGGTGGC